CACACATACACTTTAATTTTATAGTTCATAAAATAAAAAGTAGCCATGCATTAACATTTGCAGGCTCCTTTCTGAACGTCTTTTTGCTTCAGGGGTTGTATTTAAGTCTTTCTTACCTCAGAAATCAACAAAATCGATAATTTGCCCACGACACCTAAATAACTATTTTTTGTATTGTATTTTGTATACTGTATTCATGGTGTAGACACCATACAGTGTAGACACTATTTTTGTATACTAATATTGATACAAATATTTGACAATGATAGAGTGGCCAATATAATTTTTTTTTACTTGAATGCATAAGAAAAACAAGAATTTCAGACATGGAGCCTTTAAATGTGGTTATTTTACAGTTCAAAAATTCAAATAAACTTTTCTGTGCTCTCTGGAGGACAAACAATGTAACGCTGACACTCTTTCTAAATGACTTCAGACATAGTTTTGGCATTTTCTTACTGAAAGTTTCTGTGACCGACGATCAGATGACATATTCTCATACTGTTAAATCTGTGATAAGCTGAAACTGGCAGATAACATCGGCCCTGCGCTCATACGGTATAGATCAGTAAATGTGGCCTGATAATATTGACAATTCCAATGCTGGACCAAAACACTACATAACAACCAGTGTTGTTGCGCACTGTTATTTATTAATCAAGGTTTTTCTCTTCTCTTCTCTTTTCTTTTTTTTTTTTACTTTTTGTCCAAATGAATTTAATATTTCAAATTAAATTGAATGTGTTAGGTGGGTCAGCTTCCCTTAAACAAAATAAGTATGACAAGTAAAAATAACAATAGATTGAACTTTAGTTTAGAATTCCTCATCTGACCAATAGTCCACTATATTTGCTTTCAGACAGTATCTTTTAGAATCAAGTAACCTCAGGTCTAAAATCATAACTACTTCATTAATTATACACTTGCCTCAACAATCCCACTAATAGAGGAAAAAAATGCAGAAGTGTTCACAAATCTAACAATGCAATGCATGGCCTTTGCTCCTGAGGTTACTGAGGTATAAATTACAGTTATAGATTGCAAACTGATGATGATTATTGAGTGCAAGATGTATGGTATAGTCAATGGGAGAGATCTATGAGCTGAGTCAAGGAGGAAATACTGTATGTAGTTTGGACATGACATTTAACAATACTGAATAAGTATCAGCTATAAGCAGCTACAGCAGAAAAAATTAAATCCTGTGTCACTATTTTTGTTCATACTGGTAGAGGTGCCATTAAAATTACTGACAGCAATTATAATTCACCCATGTTTATGCTTACTGCTGTATCACTAAGCACACTCTTTAATAAGGCAGTTCTACCACTGACAGCAGGGGAATATAACTGTAACATCTGTGCTGGGGGGTGTAAGGTTCATGCACATCTCTGTGTTTTTGTTTAGGACTTACAGGAAAAGGAAGAAGCGAAACCACACAGACATATCCGCAGCACTTTCCCTTTTGCTGCTGAAATGAGGTCTGGTGTTTTCAGCTCCATAAGTCTGCAGTTATTATCATAATAATGTCTTGTTTCAAGTCGCCCTGAAATGCCTCTAGCACAGCAGCACCGATTAAGAAATCTTAATTAAGCTTTTGTAGATTCTCCTTCATCAGACCTTGCCTCCTTTTTTTTTCCCAAAGCGTCTTGTTATATAAAAAAACTCGGATTCCTTTAGTCTGTTTTTAAGAGACACCACTTCCGCCTAAATGAAGGAAGTGTGTTCGTGTGTGTAGGTGCTACATTTGTGCAGGGAGACAGCGAGAAAGAAAGAAACCAAAGCCTGCGTGTCAGCGCAAGCTTTCAAGTTCCCAGTGCTTCATCTCTCTCAGGGCATTTAAGTATTAGATATCCCTCTGCTGATCCCCTTGTTGTCACAGCAATTTCCCCAGTTGCTCATCATACTTAAACTCCTTTCTCATTTCCATTATAATCACCCTATACAAAGCTCACCTGAGATTTACACTGAAAGACAAAATTCAGTTTCACCTCTGAAGCTGCGCAGCATGACACCCAATGTGAAACGGATATAACAGCTCGGGCTGGAGGGAAGCCGAGTGCCATGTCTCCCTTGTTCACAGCAGTATAGAAATGTTCCTGTTGGGAGCCCATAGTGCCGCAGATTTTATGTTCAGCGTTGCCCGTTATTGTGATGTTGTTATAGTCTAATCAAATTAACAGCTGAGCTCACACAAGGTATTACTAAGTGGCAGTATCGGTGGGGAATACTGACACTGGAACTGGTTGATTAAATGACTGTGGATGTGATGAGCTACACAGAGGGACATTATTACTGCGTTGCCTCATTCATCCATGTTTACAGGGAGCGACTGTCTTGTTTAAGCATTGTGAGGGCCAATAGATCAGCCAGGCTCACTGTCCGTGGGAGACGCATTGATTGCACATTACATATGCAGATAGCCATTAAATTCTGCTTACTATATTAAGGTGTTACTACTCTCTCGGACATGAGTGGCGTAGTAAAAAAAGCTCTGAGGTTTATAAGTGTGAGTATAACAAAACAAACTGTGGCAGACAGACCTGGTTTGTTAGCTTTGTACACATGTGCCTCAGTTAGGCTTACAGCAAAATTATAATTAGTCTGGAAGTAGTGCACAGCAGCTCAGTGAGAATTCAAACAGCCTCTGCTTGGTGCTTTCAACATCTGCTTCTCTCAGTGATCCCTACAACCGGGCCTGGGGAAAGCCGGCACTACTAATTACTAATAAAACTAGCTAAGCTTATTTCCGTGAATTATTAAAGCTTTATCTGAAGTGGACCAGGAATCGCTCCTGAAGCTAAAAGGCTTTGAGGCACAAGCAGGGATCATAGTTCATTGCTGCCTCTGGATTAGCACTTAGCACATACTTTAGCACACTACTGTAGAAGCCGATTTTATTGTTGAGAACCATTATAAGCCAAAGTTCATATGCACATACACTTTATAAGAATAGCATTACTGATCTGAGACCAGCTCACATGTTTAGTTCAGGGGATTTTCATTGTCATGTAATCTGACAAGTCGTCCTAAAATATTAGAAACTTTATGCAAATATGAGCTCTGTGGGAGTTCATCAGTGCATCCGAAAAGCTTCCTTTACACTTCAGTACAAATGTCTTGTTTTCTCACCTTATCTGTGGTTACTAGTTTTAAGAAGTAGTTTCAGTATATGTAATTTAACTACATCTGTATGTATGTTTACACAATTACATTTGATGCCATTCAGTGCAGATAACCACCAGAACTACAACTACAAACAGTTTAGGGTCATGAATGCAATGATTGTTTTAACTAAAGTTACTCTGTGTTTCACCTACTGCACCTTCTTTCTCTTTCATCCTGGTTGCTGTGAAGTACATGACCTGTCAATGCCATTCACACTGTACTGCACAGGCCTGCACAGGCATCCTCAGCCACCTCACACACACAAAAGCATCTTTAATATTATGAAATGAAGGATGTTGTCCACCAACGTTTAAAACAAAAGGTCATTTGTGTAGACAGCATGGTGGCAGGTTGTCTGGTTTAAATGGAAAGTTGTTAAAGTTGTGTCGTTTATTAAAGAGCCGGCAAAACGGACAAGTGAGGCTCACTGTGTAGGTGCTGTGGTCCAACTGCCATCTAAATGTTGAACGTTGAAAATGTTTTGAATGTGTGTGAAAAGTTGTAAAGATTGTAAAAAGGAATATTAAGATTTGAGTTGACAGGAGTAGTTTGGCGTTTTGGGAAATATGCTTTGTTGCCAGAAGCCAGCTGGCTGTTAGCTTAGCTTAGCATAAAGACTTGAAACAATGGGAGAGTTAGCCCGGCTCTGTCCAAAGATAACATGTAAATTTGTGAGCTTTAATGCTGCTAGGAAATTTTTTAACTTTAGACTAAGCCCCGCAAATCCTGCTCTCTCCAGCCTTTATGCTAAGCTAAGTGTCTGCTGGCTTCAGCTACATTAACATAGACATGAGTGCTATTGATCTTCTTTTCTAACTCTCATCAAGAAAGTGATATGCATATTTCTCCTAAGGTTGAAATATTGCTTTGACTCTAGTGACAACATAACAATTCTTAGATTTTTTTGGTTCGGGGAGGAACCAATGTTACATTATTTTTAATGATCTGTAGATATACGTACGTATTTGTCAAACATTGTATTTTTGTTCTTTATCATATCAGTAATAGCTATTTATTCACAAGTAGCTATTTTAATAAACAGCTGAATGCTGTTTTTGCAATTACTGAATTAAGTGAATAATCACTCAATGTCATATCTTTCTGCGTCCAGGATTTAGCAGACATGGGTCTCACTGATGGACACTGCATATAAATGAAAGTTGGCAATCTTTGCTTGTCGGTAGAGAATTTTATTTCAACTACTTTTTCTAAGGTACAGCAAGTTCAGGAAGGCACTTGATTCCTTTAATAAATTTTATTGTGCCAGGGAATCAAGTGGCTGTCCTGAACTCCATGTATTTTCAATAAAATGTCACATTTTCAAAGACAGAGCACTCCCTCAGCAATCTGTTTGAAGTCCAGCATCTGTTTGAAGAACTTTTTGTAAAGCTTTAAATTTTCAAAAGTAAATCTTTAATCTTTTTAGTTGTTTGACAACTGGTGTTCTATGTTCACAGTGTTTTTTTACCTCACCCTCTTTAGTGCTGAACTGCTGCTGTGGAATTTTCACAGTGTAATCACCACAAATAAATTGTCAGTCAGCCAGCGTGAACATAGCTGTGATTTGCTGCATTTAATGGTATTTTGTGCCAGATGTATTGTCTGTGAAAGGTATCACTCTCTGTAAACGACACTGAGCCTTTCAAACTTTTTCTGAACAAACTGGAAACATCAAATGTATAACATCCTGTACACAGATACGCAGTCTGTGTATCTGTGGATTTGTGAAGAGTCCAAACAAACTTCCAATCTTTGTAAGTGCAAAGACCACAACATGTTTTGTCTGACTTAATGTTCTTTTTCTGTCTACCTGTGCTCTGTTTTCTCTGAAGGTCACATGCAGGAAGGTGCACGGAGGGGCCACAGAGCTCATTGAGTGGGGAGACAGTAATGAACAGAGGATTTCTCCCACGGGGGCCAGTCCACGGATCCTCAACCCCCTGCGTTTGTTTGCCAGGGGCTCCCCCGGGTTCAAGAGCAACATGAGGGAAATAACATATTTACAGAACATGGAGGACTTTTGGGACTGGTTATCTAACCAGACAGATGTTCAGGGTGCACAGGCCAGAACTAAACGCAGGCCCATCGTGAAGACTGGCAAGTTCAAAAAGATGTTCGGGTGGGGGGATTTCCACTCCAACATCAAGACTGTCAAACTCAACCTGCTGATCACAGGGAAGATTGTGGACCACGGGAATGGCACTTTTAGCGTTTACTTCCGCCACAACTCCACGGGTCTGGGGAACGTGTCTGTCAGCCTGGTGCCGCCCTCCAAGGTGGTGGAGTTTGAGATCGCCCAGCAGTCCACGCTGGAGACCAAAGACACCAAATCATTCAACTGTCGCATTGAGTATGAGAAGACGGACCGCAACAAGAAGACTGCCCTGTGCGGCTTCGACCCGTCCAAGGTGTGCTATCAGGAGCAGACGCAGAGCCACGTGTCCTGGCTGTGCTCGAAACCCTTCAAAGTCATATGCATCTATATAGCCTTTTACAGTGTAGACTATAAACTGGTGCAGAAGGTATGCCCCGACTACAACTACCATAGTGACACACCATACTCCTCCACAGGATGACCTAGCAGTTATTAGTATGCATCAACTTTTTGTTTTATCTTCGAATAATGTAAATGTCAACTTCTAAGCTCCTTGTCCCCAAATACCTAAATACCTGAGATATGTTGCATGAGGTGCAACTTAAAATGGGACACAAACCGCAGGGATTTGGCGCATTATTACAAAACTTTTGTATGTACTGCACAAACACACAACTCTAACACTTCAGATAGTTAGGTGTCCAGGGACTTGGTTTTAGGGGTTGACTTGGGATTCAGAGCTAGCTTCCAACCCTGAGTGACTCCTTCCCATCACAGCAGCACATGTTCTCTGTAAACCACAGGAATAATTAGTACGTCGTCCAGATGTTTTCTTCGAGGCTAGACCGTAGGCAAGCAGCCTCTCAGTTGGAAGTGTATAGCTGGCTTCTCTGCCAGTGCTGCATTGATGCTAGCATTATCAAACAATTTCTTCACCTCATTTAAACAGTCAGTTATGGGAAGAAATATGACAAGACTTTGAATCATTTTAATAATTACTATACCAAGACATTTGAATTGATATTCAACAGGGCATAAATTTGATATTCCCCATTTGAAACGTCACTACATTTTGACTGATTAGTCAAAATGGTCTGTTCATTGTCTTCAAAGTGAAGCTAACATCCATTTGTACCTGTTAACAGAACACAGGCAGGACAGTCTCTATTATTTCAGATTAGTGTGATTAATGGGTATTTTTTCAAGTAGCTCTGAATAATTAATATGGCCTTACAACCTATCTTTTATCTGTTATCTGTCTCTTGTAGGGACTGAAATAACGTGAATTGATTCATTGAACCCAATTGTAAGTGCCCAAGACGAAATAAATTGATCCAGCAAATCTAATCCAAAAGCAGCCTGACAGCATGATCGTAAATTATTACACATAAATATGTAGGTACCCATCCATGTATAACCTGGCTGCTGCCTTGTTTGCTCCTTAAAATGTGTTGGTTTTCTGCTACAATCATCATAAGGCATGTGTATGCTAAACCAGCCTGAAATCCAACATCTGTGTTTGCAGGATGCACTTTGAGGCATCAGCCTGCCGTGCTACGCCCGCAGTGGATTAATGTGTCAGGAGAGGTGGGGGGGTGGGAGCGATAATTGCAGGACAGGTGGATTTAGTGAGTCTGGCAGACAATTATCAGCACTTTGTCATGGTCCTGCCACAAGCCCTGACATTACCTGTCTTTAATAGGCTTTAATTAGCCTGGGAAATTTCATTTACCTAAGACCAAGAGTGGAGGAACCAAAAGCAAAAGTAAAAAAAAAAAAAAAAAAGGTAAAAGTACAGAATCCATCTGGAATTTTAATGAGAAGTGGGACTACTAAGTTTGAAAATGTCAGACATTTCCCAGTTGTACAGCAGGCTTAAAACGAATAACTTGTGTAAAAGTGGATAACATCCAGTCTCATAATAAATGGTGTAATGTGTTTTGACTTAGCTTTTACAAAAACATTTTTAAAAAGGTGTTGTTGAAAACCGTCAGCACATTAAATGCCATAAGCTGCGTTGTTAGCACATATCCAGGGGTTTTAGGCTAGGGCATGTGCTACTGACTAATCACATGGCAGTTATTTCTGTCAGTTCCTTTGTATGCTGTATCTCATGTCTTTCACCATCTGCTGTAAATGATCCCGTCACGTCACACATGTGGAGAGGTGTATGATAAGGAAATACCGAAATCCAAGTTGATCTATGTTGATGTTTTAGTTCTACTCCTTTGTGAAAATGCTGTGTATTATCGTGTAACTCTAAAACTAAACGTGTTTAATTATGGCTTCAGAGTAAATGATGTCAATTTATTCTAATTTTTTTTCAGAGAAATATATTAATGAATATACTGGTCCTTATTTTTGGTGTTTGTTCAGAGATATCATGTAGATAGATGTCATATTTATTGCTTCTAGTTATAGATTGCTTTGATTTCCATTTTTGTAATCCTTGCAGATTGTATTTTGATTTTTGCTAGCTTAATCTTGTTTAAATGGTTTCCCCTGTAAAATACGAATAAGAGCACTGCTGTGTGTATAGTGTAAGTACAAATGTTCATTTTGGAATATTTGATTTCATAGGGGGTTACTTTTGTTAAATTGAAATTGTAAAGATCAATTTAGGTTTTTATGGCATTAAACCTTATTTGAACTTGGCTCACAGCATATTGTCACACTGAGTCAGCTCCAGTCTGTCGGTGCTCACGCTTGTCTCATTTCATTCCTACAACGACTTCTCAACAGGATAAACACACCATTTTAAGAGGTACATTTCAGTGTAGCTTTTTAATGGGCAATAAATCTGTGTCCACAGGCGTGGATGATACCAGAGGTACACCTCAGGGAGCACATCCATTTTGCTGTGGCCATCAGGGACAGGGGTCTTTTCATTCGCTTCCATTACTCTTATCTGATCAGGGTGAGGCACCCACTCCTTAGGCATCAAGTCACACCAGGCTTTCCTGCTGCACACATCCACATCCTTGAAAAACTAAGAGGAATGTTAACATACATTTCATTTTTCCTGGTTTTCAGTGGTAATATCAATTATTATACAAATAATAAACAAGTTCAATTTGCTAGTTGTTGACAATTAACATCAGTAATTTACAAATGCTGAGCTACAATTTACTTTATCATCAGTGGTAAATGTCAGGTTTTGTTGCTTAAACACTCTGGACTGACAACAATTACAAAAGGAAAATTCATTAGAGATGCAAAAAACTTTTTTTTTTTTTTTTATCCGACTCCAAAACCTGTCAGTCCACAAATGCCAAATGCTCTCTCCAGCCACAGCTGATGTGTATTCCTCATGAACTATAGATGACAAGTTTCTGACCCCGCACTGGGTTTGTCAAAATGTATCCTGGGAAACAAAGGGAACTATGCAATTATTAGAATAAGGGTGAGGAAAATGTTGTAGTTAAAAACCTCTTTGAGAGTTTACCTCAGAATTCCTCCAGGGATGCAGGGAGCACCATAGAGTAAGATTTTGTCTAAACCCGTTACTTCTCTATGTAAGTCAGGACACTGTTCCCTGCTGCAGCCCCCCTTTATAGCCTCATAAAACAGACATTTTCATATTAACAAGCCCATATTCATATTCAAGCATCTAAACTTCTGACCCAGTGTCATTGTTCAGCGCTTGTTTAACGATCCAAATTACAGAACAAATTTTCAATTTTGAGAGTGCCACTGCAGGCATCTTCACTTTCAAGTGTTACGGTTGGTTGCAGAAAGCGAAGGAGGAGGAAGATAGAAGGTTGGAGAGGCGTCCTAAAGCAGAGATGGTATCAGGTATTTTCCTAGGATCTGTGCTGAGAGGGGTGGAGGAGGATCAGCAAGCTGCTGATGAAGACGTCTCTGTTCCAGCAGGAGAGAGCTGCCTCGCGTTCACTTAAATTAGAGCCTGCGCCGAACATTCGCACATAAAACGTGAGGAAAAAATGTCTTTCATGTGTCCTAAAAGGTTCAACATTAAACATGTTACTATGCTAATGCTGTTGAAGCACATTTTCTTTTGATTATCACCAGTAGTATTTTCTTATATTTAAAAGGAAAACCAGTAGAAGAAGAAAACAAATCACCTCTGCCTGACGACCACATCCATTAATATGGTCATTAAAAAGAGACGGTGCGGATAATAATCATCCTTTCACTGAAATCTCTTATCGCATTGACTTCAACAATCTCCAGTTAAAAATAAACAAACCTGGGGCACTTCATACTGCTGGAAAATGTTTTAATGGGTTAATGCAGGCATTCTTGCAGACAACAACTTCATCTTTTTTGCTTCCAACCAAAAGTAGTTTCAACATCTCAACATGACGCTGAATGATGAGTAATATCATGTAAAAATGATGCTACTCTTTTAATTTACAAAATCCTCTGAAGTGTCTGTCACACCACACTACATACGAGACGGACTGAATAAACATGACAACCCCCCCATTCAAACACAGAATAACATTGCCAGTAGAAGTGATGCTCAGCATCCTACAAATATCCAAGCATGTTAGAGGAAATTTTTGCACATACTCAATTCATTTAATTCTGCACAAATATGTCAGATAATTGCAGAAAATAAATTGTTAAAAACAAAATTGGTACTTGGACACTTTCTTTGACAATAACATGACCATGCATTAGTCTCTCCACTTTTAGTTAACCACAATATATTGAGAATATATATTTGCAAGTTGGTGATACTAAGGAAAAAAATTCTTAAAATTTAATCTATAACAGTTCACAGACGTATGATCTGGAATATGTCATTCAAATGGGAGACTGAGTAAATACTTCCATATACTTCCAATGTTCTAATATATTAGGGCCAAGGTACAGACACTTTTCTGTCTTATATGAATCATTAGGTTTGACACTGGGTCTTCATAATGGCAGATTATTTTTCCCCACAAATACGCAATAGAACAGACTTTCTTGTACACTAGTCTTCTGAAGATGGTTCAACTGTCATTTACATAGAAATGGTGCCATCAATATGGGGCATACACATCTTTTAAAAAGTGTAAAGAACTGACCTTGCACTGAAAGTGTTCATGCTTTTTAATGTCTAGTCACAAAACGGGCTAAACATTACAAATATATATAATATTTCCCATTTAGTTAAACCTTTGTTACGTTCCTATAGAACTCCATATCAAAATGACTATTCATGGGAACTAGTGCAACCTGGAGGAGGCCTGGTCTTTGTGACAAGGCAGGCACAGAGTAAAATAGACAAAGTACTCTAGAGCAGCTCCAGAGCAATGGCAGATATATTAAGGCCATTTTTAAAATTACGGGAAAAAAACAGTAGCAGACAGCTTGACTTGCTACCCGGGTTGAACAGAATTCAGCTGGGGAAGCAAAGCAAGCAAGCAACATCGACTGAACAGATTTTTTCCCAATGCATTGATGTCAGTCGTCCACGTGCCAGCCTCCCCACATTCCTGGCCAGAAAGCTCCACTCTTCTTTATTCAAGTGTGTTCAGTTTTGGTGGAAATAAGAGTGGTACCCTCACTAGTCCTTCCTTTGTAAACCCATGCTTCACACCTCCAGTAAAGTCCTGGGGCACAGTCAGGCAGTCACGACTGTTTTAGACGCTTCCTGGGAAGACCAAAGGGTGGGCACTGTGCTGAAGCCAGGGCGCGAAAGGCCTCGGCTACCAAGTGAGGATGGGACTGGATCATTGACTTCCAGCCTGCAGTCTCCATTATATCTGTAGCATGACTGTAAGCACAGGCAAAATGAAGTTAACACTCAGACATAAGATTGTGCACATTAAAAATCAATAAACATAAATGAGATTGTAATGACAAAACAAATAAAGAGGACTTTCACAGTGAAACTTGAAAAGGGTCATTAGTGCTTTATGTATGTGCATAGGTTGAAATTAATGCAGGATTATAACGTCTTCACATGTTGAATACAACAGAGACAGATTTAAGATCAACATTTCAAAGTGTCTTTTAATAACACACTACATCATCTGAAAGAAAAACTTCCCGTTGCGACCACCTCCCTTCTTTTTAAAATTCTGCAAATATTCCATTTCAAGGGTTTATGCAGGTATGAGTCTATTAATAACATGGATACAAAGATATGGAGCTTCAAACTGAAAAGGCAAATAGCACTCTGTCTGCCTGGGCTAAAACAATGAATTCTAATGCATCTGGTTGGGGGAAGAGATAAGAGTGTGTTATTAATCTTGTGTCACATATATCAGCTAATTACATACTTGCTATTCCAGTTCTTTCCATCTTTACAGCCCAGCTGTCTCAGGACACTGCACCTATGGCAAGGAGATAAAAAGGTAAGCATTCAGGGCTGGTAAACAGAAATGGCAGCAGGAATTTATCACTGGAGGTTTTTTTTTTTTTTTTGCAATACTTGCCTGTTGATAAAATCTATGGCTTGTGCTTTGAGCTGCTCGGCACTGTGCAAGTCTGCTAGGATGAGGGTGTCGGCCACATTCTCCACTGAAAGGCTGTTGCACAAGGCCTCTTCACACATGACCTTTAAACGTTCCAAAGCGTACTGGGGTGGCGGCGGGACACACACACACGCGCGCGCGCACGCACATACACAGACACAAAGAAAGCAGCAGTTACATCCTGGATTCAATGAGGATGCTCATGGTTTGAGGTTTTGTTTCAACTACTATGAGAACAAATAAAAGCTACTCATATAACATGTACTGCAATTATAAAAAAAACTGAATCACACAATTTCACCACACGGTGCGTATTTATCAATTTAACAATGATTGGGGTGATTGTTGAGGGGGAATTAAAGTTGTTGCTCAATATTCTGGTTCACTACTCAGTTAAAACACATTCATCAAATCCATGATCAGCACGATGTTCATAGCACACTTACCCTAAAAGAGGGGAAATATTTCTTTATCAACTATTGAAATGTACCGATTATAAATGCAGCCTAACATGAGCTGCACATCCACTGGCAATATGATATCACATTTTAAAAAAACGATCCGAACAGCAACATTTCATATCCGCGGTCTCTTTGAATTTATCAAGTTTTGCTCATGTGTTGCACTGAACTGTCTTATGTCAAAGTTATTTTAGAACAACATGATAAGTTAAGTGAAGTTTTTCTTAAGTCATAAAATATGTTTCCATACCAATAAACAATATATTTCCAATATTCCACACGCCTGCATAGAAGAGAAACTAACTACATCTTCAATCTGTTAACAAGAATTAGCTCTTATCTCACAGTCCCCACAGAAGTTGATTATAAGCATCAAAAACATACAGCAGTATATGTACTGAATTATATTATACAGGTGTTTCATATTTGTTTATGTCCTGCACAAATTCCTTCTAAAAATGGGGAATGAAATAGACATATATTTCTCTATAGTTTATCAGTTATGAAATGATGTCACATTAGCTGTAGGCTAACAGAGAGACAGCAAGCAACATGACCCTCCCTGACTATATCATATCTCAGCTTGAAGGTTTCAGTGATTAAGTGGCCTGATGTTAATACTGACTTGGCATAATACTTCATGATGACACACAAGTCTGAAACTGCCATAAAATAAAAAAAGGTGATATATAACTGAAAGTGCAAAAAATTCAAACTATCATATCAATTATTTTGATAAGAGCTGATGGGTCCAAGTGTTGTACCCTGATATTATCAGCCAACACAAAGAAACATTGGTTTCAATAGTTTGTTACCAAATACTTTAAACACAGTGACATGCTGTCTGACCACAGCTGAGATCAAAAGTGTTTATACCTGATCTAAGCGGCCACACTCAAAAGGTAGAGAGAAAAACCATCTGTCAAACCGGGGGGAAAATATTTATTGTTTAAATATGGGATAACAGTGCACATTTTCAGTCTCTCCTAGAAGACATTGATAGTGTTACACTTGATTGCCCACATAAAAAGTGCCACAAATGAAAAAGGAGAGCTAGAGAGAAGTGCAAAGTCCTTGTACTTTTCTCACCGCGGGGTGAAGTGTATGCCAATGTCAGACTGTTGGTTTTCGAATAGTTACAGAAATGGTCGGACAGAAACCCCATAACATGATGTTGGAGTATACAAACCATCTGAAGTCTAACTAAACACAGGATTTGTCAGGTAAGATTTTTGGCCAAACAAAGCCAGAAATAATGGAAACTGTTTCTAAAGATAAGTGGGAGGTAGATGTTTACAAAAGTATGAACAGAATTTCTTGGGTACTTACTTTATCTGCAGCTGCCAGCAAATTGTCTGCCATCTTCTCCAGGTTTGGGGCCTTTCCTGTATAGATGAAGCCCATCATTTCCTTAAAAACATCTGGGTCCACGTCACTGATGTCAACACGGTTCTGCAAAAAAAGACAAAAGGTTACTTGACTACCACCGAGTTCCGATGATCATCATTAAAAACACAACGAAAGATTTGTGTGGCATTGTACCACTGTGGTCATTAATGAACTAATGAGAATAATACAACATAACCTGTGACAAAAACTATATAAAATGACCAGTTATTCTTACCTTTTTACTTTCTTCCATTTCATGTTCGAACATAGCATTAAAGACTGGTGACCTCGCTGTCAAAGAAATAATTGGACACTGATAAATATAACAACCAGTCAACATCATATTAAGCATGTTAGCAAACCAAATCAATAATGTTTATCAAGACCTACCAACATCGTGTCATGTGACAATGAAAGGAGCCACAATAAAAAAGTATATAACAGCTGTCTGACATAAAAAAGTGCACAAAACATGAAACATTACAAGTGAACTATTACAGCTCTAAAATGCTGCAAAATCTGTACAGCTGCCACTTTGTCAGCATTTCCCCGACCGCTGCAGTTGCCACCATGTCAAATGGAAACAAGCTGCAGAGGAGAGCCAGCCTCTCAATCTCCTGGATCCTACAATCATCTGGGTCAAGCAGGGCCAAGCAGGGGTAGTGGGGTGGATTAGTGCCCACTGCAGAACTAGGCTGCCACAAATCAAGCCAGAACACAGACCCTCTGTAGCCTTTCAAGGTGCTTATGGCTCTCTACGAGAGGGCATTAAGAAGAAGCATAGACATGTCTTGCTGGAGCCAGTTTGGGTTTTTTTCTCCTGCTTGCTGCTTGCTAAAGTGCTGGTGGCCAAGGACGGTCTTACCTGCAAGGATGGATTTGTGGGCTTTGAACTCCTGCCCTCCCACATAGAGGCTGCAGTCTGTGAAGCGGGAACACTCCCATAGGTTCCCCAGGTCATCGGACAGCTGGCACTCAGGTACCTTCAGCATGTTCATGTTGGACTGGCCCGAAATGTTAACAGAGTCCTGGACAACACTTACCTGTACATGAGAAACATCACAGGGAGAATCACACACTGAAGGAGACTCATCAAGGCTAGGCAGACTAACAAATTCAGCTGCAAATATGTCTTACGGCATCAGAGAAAAATCTCTTTTTAAAGTGTGGTTTCAAGGAATCTACAGTGGGAGGTACTCGTTTGCAAAAACACAACCACTTGAGACCAAAATTAATTCACTTTGCTGAAACACCTAATTGATGAGAAAAGGCATTTGTCTTTAATTCGGATGTCATTTATTTTTCAAAGTGTCAGTTTCCCTGAAATTGCTGAATCTTTCTGGAACTGCTCTTTTGCACACTGTCCACTCCTGGCAGTATTTGGCCAATTGAATTTACATCAAAATTCATTGAAACTTAATTTAACTTGTCCCTTGAGAGAGCAATTTAGGAGACGCTTATTCTTCTTGACACACTGAATTCAATTATTTCCAGAACAAGTGTCATTGTAAATGATGGGAAAAGAGGAAGCATTCACTTCCTCAGATTTTAATGTAATTTAAAGCAAATGCCATCACTGTGTTTGTAGTTAAATGGCACTACAGCTTATACTCAGGTGTAAATGCGCAATGACAAGAATTAAGAGACTTTAGCCTTGATTCACTTAAGGTAATACTAGGAGTATAAAAGCTTCAATACCACAATGATCTGCTCTTGATGGCAAAGACTCAATGATTTGTATGCCGCATTCAACAGCAGCTCAGCAACATGACACTGGTACACAAAGGAAAATGAGGCTAACAGAAGCTGAACAGACACATTTGGCATTATGATGCTTGCCATTCCAGACTCATGTCTACTCAGCCAGTCAGCAAAGACAACAAATAATGCTACAAGCTGTGTCCGACGATACAGCATCTTTATGTCTGTTATGTAAATGATGTAAATCACATTTCTTCCCATAAATTATACACAATGACTTTTTTTTTTTGCTAACACATATCCTCGACACTGTAGTCAGTTTACTAATGATTGATCTCCAAACTCCAAATCCTTTCTATTTCACTGAACATGAAACAGGAATATTTACAGGATGGAAAGTGTCTCCAAAAAAAAAGAAAAAAGAGACAGAATTGAGAGATTGCTGTTTTCTGTGGACAGATGAGGGAGCAATGTGTGCCAGCCCAAATCAACGACCTTCCAAAATGAGCGACTGATTCAATGGGCAAAAAAGAGAAAAAACATAATCTTCCCCCATTAGCATGTCAGTAAGGCACTTTTGTAAAGTTCCACCTTCATCGCAGGTAAGGGTGAGTGACGTGTGGCTCTGTGTAAACAGGAAAGCAACAGTATAATAATTACCTCACAGAACAGGGTGAGCTTGTCATCTGGTAAGAGTCCATTGGCTTCATCGAGGAGGAAATCTCTCCTTATAAATTTTTTGAAGCCCCAATCTTTACCTTGGACAAATCTATATGCTCTTTGGCTTTCTGTAAAAACAAGAAAATAATGCCAAGTGCTGTTATTGCCTTTGAAAATAAACAGTAGTGGTGTTATATGTTTCTGTTTGCTTGTACTCACCCATTGCTTTTGTCTCCTCTCTTTTAGCATTCAACAAAGAAAACTTGAACTTTGCCCGGACTTCACTTTTTGGACAACTAACAAGTAGTAAATACAATGACAGATAGTCTTTGCTTTCATCATCAAGTCCTTTTGGATTGACTCGCAGACACCTGGGAAGTAAACACATGCCACTGCACATTAGTAATCTTCCAAACTAGAGAAGACAGTCATAAGTGCTTTTATCACTTTTGTCAAAACAACACTCTGACGAGGCTTCAGGGAAGATTTTCTCTTGTTTTGAAAAACTGTAATTATCACTTTTGTGTTCTCAAACTAAAACAAAATATTCATACTTCTCAAAATACATTGATATTTGTGTTAGGGGAAGTTCAAGAAACTGGATGTAACAAAATTGCTCATTAGAGATAAATTCAAAAATGCATTCAAGTATGGATGCGAAATTCCAAAACTCTGAAGGCCTACATTCATTCACAAGTTATTAATGATTTTCACAGAAACAGAAGCCCTGCAAATAAATGAACGTCAGGGAGAAGTTTAATCTGAGTACTAACCATTTCATTTTGTCATTAGGACCAGAGGAGAATGTTGAGCTCTTCAACACCTCACCCATTTCTTCTCTGCAAAAACTAAAGTTGTTTATGGTCCACATGTAGGAAAACTTCACAACTTTGACCTTGGAACCAGAAGAAGAAACATTCAGAACCATCAGAACAAAGATCTGCTTTTTTTTGTTTTCCATTTTCAAATACAGTGATAACATTTTACTTTGTGACGACACAGTTCACAAAGTCTGGTCTGAAAATTTATTAAGACAGGATGGACAGTTTACCTCTCAAAATTATGAAAAAAGATTCAGTTGGACTTTTTACTGTTCTGACACTTCAGTAAAGCAGGTCTGATTTTTGAAACTTAAGCCCCTACTTATGTCACAGTAGGAAGAGCCCAGTTGCAAATAATAAAACTAATGGCTGAATTCCATTTAACCGTTTGTCACAATGTCATGACTTGCTGGGACAGTTGGATAGAAAAGAGCCAATATTATCAGTAGCACCTGTTCATGTCAAACGGTCTGCTGTGAAAAGGCATTCTAACAAAAGAGGGAGAAATAAAGGTAGGACTATGAGTTGGCAAGGAAATACCAGTGCTCTGGGTTTTCCCTAAACTGTGACGTGGTTTGAAACTATTCACCAAGCTACACCAAAATCTAATCGGCATCTCAAACCTGATCTGTCACTTTTGTGTACATAACATGACACAATTAGTTCCATTATGCCCATACCTGTGTGTAACACCAGCTCTCTGCCACAGGTCCACTTGACATCTCCCCAGGAGGAGGAGGGGTGGGAACCCGTGACATCACCGGCTTCGGAGTACCACTCACTCACGTCCTTAAAGCACTACTTGTTCCAAGACAGTAAGTAAATATCATTATTTTGGCACAAAATTAAAAGCATACATGTCAGTTATTAAATAAATTTACTTTTTTAACCAATGGTTTAATGTGCCTGGACAGAATAAACCTAGCAAATAAATTCTCAAGATGGCAAAATGGCAGGAAATGGAATCAGCTTGTATTCTGATTATGATGCAAGAAAAGGAGTATGCACTCTCACTGCAAAGAAACAATGTGAATTCAGTGCAGTTCAGTGCACAAGTGTAGTGATAAGTGATGCAAATGTATCCATAGTACACAGAAAATTGTGTGGTCTGTGCTAAAATCAGTACCTACTGAAGTGTAAAATGCATTACTGACACAGCTTCAGTAAATCTGCAGTCCCTGTCCATGGCCACATAAATGCACATCCTCACAGCTATTCCTCCACATCATCAGACATAAATAAATGTGAAACAAGGAAATGAGCAAAAAAAGACATCCAATCAAATGACAATGCTGACATACTGCATACAAAGCATGTTTGGGCAGTTGGCATGAAAAAAAAAAAAAAAAAAAGCCAACAAGAAAACCAACAGTGGAGAACTGCATCCAATGTTCATGTCCTTGAAGGTAAAAGAAATGTCATTAATTTCATCACCCCCCACCCCCCAACACTTCATACTAGGGGAGTTGCAGATATATCTTGCAAATCAATTTCAAATCAATCAATATTCTATTACACTTGAAACTATTGAAAGGTGAAGCAAAAACTGATGTGTTATTTACAACTGAGGAAAAATACTAAATTTCACAGTTTCAACAATTATTTAAAAAATTTCCTGGCACTTAACACAAAACAAATACCTAACTACAGCAAAATATAAAATCATCTCCTTCATTTATTGTACTGTAAAGCTTTTTGCCATAATTCTGGCCGACTAGTAATGATCCATTTTTCATGAGGGAGAAATACATAACATAATATACAACATAATATTGCAGATACATCATACATATACAACAGACAAAACGACTTCAAATTAAGTGACATTAAGTGACCATAATGATGGTGGCATAAAAGAATGAAAATAAACACAGTACAAATTTGGACTGTTGTCAATTACAGCGATGCAGCTAAATGTATGTATGCTCTGTGCAGCTTAAACTCATCATGCCAGATGGGGCAGTCTGCTAATCACAAATTAACTGTGACACCGGGGAGACATTCTGTTACACTTTGCCTTTAGTCGCCACTTGTGTAATCATGTGCATAGATTTTCGCATAACTCGAGTATAGTCTCAGATTCATTTTGTAAATAAACAAAAGAAGAATGACACATATGGATCGTTATCTGAACAATTTAACTCTGGATAATTTAACTGAAAACATGCAGTCGAAAAATAACTTCTCATGTCATGCTCTTGACTCAGTGGTGAGGAGAAGAGGGAAGTTACCAAACAGCATTGTTAACTAACAACTGGCCAGCAAGACTGTCCAGATAATGCTGATAAAGCAAACGTAGCATGTTGTTTTAGTCACACAACAGCTATCTTTCATGCCCAAACATGAAATGCACATGTTCGGTAAAGCATTTGAAAGTGTTTTACATTCCCTCCTCACCTGAGACTATGGGGAATGTCTGCACATTTCATTTCACCTTTCCTACAAAGTGAACTTCATGTCAAAGCCTCTAAAACCCTATCATCCCTCTGATCAAGCCATCTCAGAGTAAGGGTATTTCCTGTTACTCTTAAAAGATATAAACTTGGTCCAGAATGTTGAATATTTTTTGAAAACTGGCAAATGAGAACAGAGGTGAAAACCTACAAATAACACAACAGTATCCTTCCTTTAAAAACATACTGTACACAAACTTTTAACATATTGTACACAAATACACTGCTTGATGCAAGAATTACAAACAACAGAGATGTATCAATGGGAAAATGACATGAAGACATCAAAGCCAAGAGAAAGGATGACACTGCTGAAACTACTGTTCTTCTACCAGCTCTCTCCCCAGAAGTTCACTTTCCTGTGAGTGTCTGACAATGTGATTTACAATATACATCACAGAATCCCTGCTTCTCTGAGTAAAACTGAACTACACGCACGCACACGCACGCACACACACACACCTAACATGACTGGTTGTTTCTGTTTATGTATTCTCTATGCCACACGTCTATCTTTTTCCTTTGCTTAAATTGAAATTTTCTTTCATTTATCATTTGTTTTTTTAATGTTCTATTCAAGGCTAAACATATTTAGAATGTGAGACAATGTGCACTTATGACCAAGCAAGCAGGGACTACAAAATGATATCTGTTTCTGCTAATAAGTTTTACACTTAAAACCCCCCATCCATGATTAAAGACTTTCAAGTCACATGAAGGATTATTGATGCAGTAGAGAAATATTGGGCTAACAGGCCTTAAATTCAACAACTGTTTGTACAGTACACTGCTGCAGCCTTCAGATATAATGGTTATATGTGAAATGCATGCATGGATCATGTAACATAAGCAATGAAATTAAAACGTTCTCATCACCTCTTGATTGGTTGAAATGTACAATGATGGAGTTTTTCTAAGTTATGACTGGATCCTTCATGGCCCCATCTCCATGTACCACTCTAGAGATAAAGAAACCAAGATTAGACCTTGAAAATCAAGATGAAGTGCTACTACGTTACTGAAGCATCTGGCATTAAAGTCACACTTCTCACAATAAACCAGAGCTGTCACATCTACCAAGGGATATCAATCATCCAAGTGACACCACTAGAGAGCTTTCAAACCATTCAAGAATGCCACGTTATTAAAAAAAATAAGGTGATCAGAGACCAGATCGTTAGCTCACACAGGCAGTGTAGGCTTTGCATACCTGGCCATGTTCAATATTAAATCATTTTTTTATGCTTTAACGTAAAGACATGCCTATAACTGATTACTCGGCCCATAAACCAGTCAGTTAAATTAGCTAACTCAAGACTCACCGGCAACTTTGTTTGGCTAACACGTTAGCTGGGTCGTGCCACCTCGCCTTAACTACAACAGAAGTGATGCTATCCGGAAAGGCATCTAGCTAGTTTGCATTAGTTGAAAGTTAAATGGTCGTATCCTAATTGAGCTACACAGCTTACTCGAGCCTAACATTGTATGCAATACGAGATGTAAGCAGATGTGACTACGCTTAATACAAAAAATCGAAATCAGCAGAAAGCAACAGCTCAATGTTAGCGTAACATCAGCTAAAGTGTCAACACTAATTCCCAAACCATCAATATCGCTTCACGATATCTCCTCTTTTAAACGCTTATGATGGTTAGCTAAGAATGGCGTTAATAATCCAAAAGGAGAACAATTAGATTTCTCGAATCTGTCAATTATGTGTGCAATACGTATTTAGCTAACCCAAGCTAACATGAATGTTCTCATTAGCAAGATTAATGTTAACTTCACTTTAGCCTTGGACCGCAAATGTTGCTAACACTGATCAGCTAGCTTGTTAACAATACATCCGTCCACATACAACCAGTCGGACTTACGTTAGTTAGTCCTCTGTTGCAACATAAAGTAGCTAACGACACCTCAACTTAAACTGTTAATGTCCCGTATAGACCCCGCATTACCCAGTGTAAAACAAAGGGCCTTCACTGATTCCTGTGGCAGGATGCTAACTAACCAAGCTAACGTAAACCCTCACGTTTTGGTACAGTCTGCTGGTGGGAAAACAACGGCGGCTAAATAGCAGCTAGCCAAAGCTAATCTCTGCACTGATGCTCACAAAAAGTTTAAAAAGACATGGTGACGGCGTACCTTTCAATTTCATACTTCCGTATATATCGGATAACGCATATAGCTTTGTGTCACACTCGCTCCTTTCACCCTCGGTTACTTTAAACTCTTTTTCACTCAGTCTCTTCACAAGGCTTCTTTGTCTAATTTATATCTGTGCTAGCTTACATCTGTCTAGCTGGCTGGTATCTTAACAGGCTAGAAAATATATCTGTGGCGCATGCGCGCAATTTGGATAACATCCTGGTCCATCTCATTTTTTCAGCAGATCCAGACAACTACTTCTATTATTACTGCTACTACCACTGTAGTAGTAATAATAATAATAATAATAATAATAATAATAATAATAATAATAATGGAAGGTAATTGGGTGCATTAAATCAATAGCACTTGTTTCTATTCAGCCAAACTTTGTATTTAAAAAATACTGGTACATTGCTATTTTAAAGAAGCAAAAAATACATGCAGTAGTTTGACCTAGTTCCACATAAACCTTAAAATCAGTAAATTTGAAAGGGACCAATCTCCGGATTAAATGCTTTTATTTTGATATCTGAGTACAGTTACCTGCTTATCTCTACACGTCTAAAAAGAATATATGAAATGACAGACTGTTATATTTTGGTATTTTCCATCACTCAGTCAGATGTAGTGTATGTGGATGTCCTTCTTTTTCACTCCTCTGTGTAAATAAATAGATGATAAGGCTGATTTTTTACAAAAACAAAACAAAACACATACTCCCTAACAGGATATTTTTGGAAGTGGTGCCTTTCAGGCCGGTCCTTGCATCCTCGTAAGGGTTGATATTATACATATAAATGTAGGCCTATTCATTCACATTGCACTTGAGGGTCCTCATATGGAATGGAATGCAAACAATTCATATGTTGAGAGTAGGTGTGCTCATCATCTGCCTATTATATGCCTATAATTGCCCATCTTCATAGGCTACAGACATAGAAAAAATAAGTAAAGAAAGGAGTCTCCAAAGATAAAACCCCCAAATGCAGCTCATTCTCAGCCACTGTCTCTTCTGTCTGCCTCTGATGTTTCTCGTCTAGCAAACACAAAGCAGCTCGGGGTAAGTCATTCTCTGAAACAATACGCCATAAAGACTCCCTGTAGGCCGGTGATAACTAATTCCCTTTCAGATGGATGGACATTGTTCTGCACTATGAGCGATAAATGGCTCCTCAGAACCAATCAGTCCACATTCATGGACAAAGTATGGTACAGTCGTTTGGATTTTTGCACTTCAGAGTGATGACAAACACCAAAACACCTAAGTAAGCCAGTTTTGGTTTGGTAAAATATACTGTAAACACAGCAGCAAAATGTCACATTTTGATACTGGGGCCCACATCAAATGTCTTTAATACCATAGTGATGATACAGTGACCCATCTTGAAGTAGAAGGGATGGATGATAAGATCACAGTTGAAGAGATAAAGGCATACTTATCAGGAATTTAAATCAGTTTAATTTAAGGGCAGGGAGACAGGATTTGCTGAAAGTGTCCACAGACAACACAGTCAAGCAATTCAAGAAAGGCATGGCTCGGGAATGATCATCTAATTGTATTTATTTTGTATTTAATTGTCTAGCACTGAATTAGTGTGCACGCAGCACAATGTGTGCATATGGACACCTTTTAATACAAATTCAAAGCTTTTTTTCAGGTTCACTTCAGTTTGATTGTCGTGTTTCTATTCTTAGTGCATGTTTGGCTTCAGAATGAATGGCAGTGAATACCTGTTCTGTGTCTTTGTCCTATCTGATATGTTCCTCAAGTATGAATAGCCTTCTGCATGAATATCTCCTTAAACAATGGCTGTGACAGTCCTCCACCTCCAATGTACAATACTGTTCTAATTAAGAAGATCTCAAACTACCACCAATATTATTCCTGGCAGGTATTCAATGCCCGCAGTGATGAAGACTGATAGAAACAGAACTTATGAGCAGGAAGAATAAAAAAAACTACAGTGACAAGATGAGCCCCAGTGACCTTATCAGAACATGGTCATGTCGAGAGAAAAATGGAGTCTGACATCGGTCACACTCTTTTTTTTCTCAGTGACTTGGAAATCAAGTCATCATACTGAACAAAGGAGATGATAGAGCCCAGAGATTCCAGTTTCATCTAATTTGATTAAATCTAAGTAATAAAATACATGGTAATATCCAAATGTTGAGAAGATGGAAAACAGCCATTAGTTGATCAGCTTATCAGCAGTCCTGAAAAAGATTTTTTATTCACAATAGCTTCCTATTGTTAAAGATGAATATATCTTTTCTTCTTCTTTTCTTCTGAGGTAGTGAATTAGTATTTTGTGAAGTGCTGGCATTTAAGTTTTAGTAGTATGTGTTTACTTGCCTTGTCTACATCTACACATATGTATTCAGTGCTCCTTTCAGAAAATGAAATGTATCCTTTTGGTTTCTTCTGTGATTATTTCAGTGGATAATGGTTGAATTTTGGTAAAAAAATTGCATTTTTTGATGTTAGACTCTGAGGGACTGACAGCAAAATGTGACATTCATCTGTGAATTTTGAGATTACTGGGATTACTATTATTATTATTATTATCTGTGTGTTATCTATGAAAATAAGAATAAATACACCACAAAACATCAAAATAAGTTCTGAATGTTTTAGCTGTGGATTTTTTTATTTGAATACGGCCGAGTAGCATGATGAATCTAATCCCATTTTAATGAAATGCCAATAATTCTGTAGGCTGTCATTAACTTTGTCTTCCGAATCACCTTGAATCTCCTTCCCAAACTAATCACAGTGATTGTCAGAAAATGTATGGAATATTTCATGAAAAATATGCAAAGTGGAAAATTAGTATCTCCCTCTGCTAAGAACATAAATTTAGTCTCTGTAACATCCAAGGTGTCCTTTACCTCCTGTATCAGAATTTGATGTAGTTCACACTTGTTTTGAAATATGCACACCTCTCATGTACATTCTGGCCTGTGTTAATGAAACTGAAACACATGTGACATATTCATCTTTATCAGTTTGTGCGAAACATAAGCAGCTGGGGGAAGTTGTTGTAAGGTTCAGCTGGCAAGAAAAAAAGTCAAACATCATGTTGCTTCATGGAAGCCCACTCTCTACTATTATCTTCAAACTGAGGTTATGTACAACAAAGTACAGTTGCAGTGGCAGCTGAAGTCCAGCAGAATTTCTGTGTACTATGAATTTCACAGATGGGCTGCTAGTCTAGAGTTGAAGTGCTCATAATCCACGGACAGATTTCTGAATAACCTTATAATACATAATGAGCTTGATCCAGTGGAATCCATTTTTCCCTCATCAACTGCACATACAGCTCTTCAATTACAGTATCAATTGTGTTAAATGTGCAGTGCAGTGTCACACAGAGGACTATAGTTATGCACTGGATATTCATATCTTCACCTTTTTGAAACGCATTGATAATCCAAAAATTCAGACACAAAAAGTTACGGTTTCTAAATAAACGTCCAATTCCAGTGTCTGACAGGAGGTATAAAAAAAATGTATTCAGTCATCGATGAATGTCTGTGTTTGAATTTTGAACACAATACCACTCTCAGGACAGATATTTAAAATGTGAAGCTCCATTGAGCCTGGGCACTGAGCCAGGAGTCCTATACTTAGATATAATCACTGAAAAGGGTTTTAAAAAACGTTTTTCCCCTTATGTGCTTGACTCCCTAAAATGACAAGAAATTTTGCTTCCTTCAGGGAGCTGGTTAGATTCAGATAACTGAGCTGTTCAGCAGACAGTTACACCTATAACATGATTTCCTACAGTCTCATGTATTATACTTTGTAAAATAAAACAAGTAATAGACCCCAAAAACTGTTTTTAGCATGTATAATTACATTGTAATGTTACTTTCTGTCTGCCCCTTAATTACACCCTGTGAGTGAGTCTGACATGGCCAAAAAACCAAGACCTATTTAAAAATATGTCAATTCAGAACTACATTTGTGTGATGAGCCAGAGTTACAACACCAGAGTTTAACACCAGAGTTGGCAGAAAATTAACTGTGAGTAGACTGCATGAGGGTGTGAGTGTAATGAAACTCCAAACAAGATTAAATTACACTTGTTTCCATTTTCGTTCTTCTTCATTAAGTGGTTTCCTTGTTTTCCTTCCCAACAATCTTTGAGCCTTTTCAGGATTTTGACAGGGCTGATTATACAGCATGAAGCAGATGCTCTGTTGCCAAGATGTCCATTGACAATTATTGCTATTCTTCATAGCTCATTTCCCATGGAGCAGTGAGAGAAATTGCACACTGGCTCCATGTTATTAATAGTGCCGCTTGGTATGGAAATGAGACACTAATTTATCCAAAACGCACATTTTTTTCTGGTTTGATTATCAAATGAACTATGACATTCTTGAGAAATTGAATCACAGTTATTAGTTTTAAGATGAACACATTTCAACCACATTCTTTTCATATTTCACTTGATTAAAGAGAACAAACCTAATGTGATCATTTGTCCATGATTCTTTGTATATTTGACAAGCCGATCTTGTATTGAACCAGTTGTGCATGTTTGTTTGTGAATGTTGCTCAAATGGCAGACTACAACTACATCTGGTTAGTCACTCTCTTTATGGGGCAGTGATAACAGGGATGGAAATGAACAGTTCAGTTTTGCCACATTTTACCTCCAAAAACACTGGAAAAGTAGTTTGACTGTTTATAAATAACTTTTGTGCAAGATTTACAGTGAAATGCAGTAACTTTATAATGGTTATTTTTTTCTTGCAACAGATGATAAGATGTACTCTAAATGCTAAATCTAAATGACAATAATAAATCTTCATATTAAATGAAAATGTAAAATCCAAATATTTACGTTAAATCTTTATATTTGATATTCAAACCCTCAAACCATTGAATCCTGTAAATATACTTAATATAATAATATAATCAATATATGTTGAGCCACAACCCTGTTAGGTAAACATATATTTGAAAAACTGATTAGTTCATCATTCACAGTATCTCTCATATTATTCTTATGCTTCTACAGTGCAGTGCAGACAGTATTCACACAATGACACATGTTTTGTCAGTTTTCATTTACAATAATGACAAAGTCAAAGTGCCAAATTATAGACTCAGATTCGACTCAGATGAAG